CTACCACCGCAATGACGAGTAGCGCCAGCCAGCGTGCAGCAACGAAGACCCAACACAGCCATAAATAAATAAATAAATTTATATATATATATATTTATATATATATATATAAAATCATCTACCAGGTGGAAAGACCTGGTTTAGCACTTGAAAGGGTAACAATCCTTGTTCTTTCCCTCTAGCTAATGGTACGTCCTCCAAATGGCTTTGGGCCAATGATTCTCCCAGCTGTTCTGGGGAAGCCAGATGACTGGCTATGTCCATCCAGTGAGAAAAACTGGCTTCTCCTTTACCCTTTCCTTTAGCATCAGACAAGCACAAAATGTTAAACATAAAAAGGAAATAAAGTGAATCTAAAAGTGCCTTTTGATTGGTGGTATTCTTAAGAAAATCTCAAGAATTTAGATGGATGTTGGCACGTGCAAAATATATGGGATTAACTAACAAAGGTTATATAGTTCTTAGGAAAATCCTAGGCAACCAAGGTTAAAGTCATCCCCCTCTCAGCCTATCCAGAGTAACCAAATAAACCAAAGTTATTTAACAATATTGAAGAGAATTGAGTCCAAAAATTTAGTACATATAACAAGAAAGAAACAGACTCACAGATATAGAGAACAAATCAGAGGTTACCAGTGGGGAGAGGGAAGGGGGAGGGGGAAGATAAGGGTAGGGGATTTAAGAAGTACAAACTACCATGTATAAAATAAATAAGTTATAAGAATATATTGTACAACACAGGGAATATAGCCAATATTTTATAAGAACTATAAACGGAATATAACCTTTAAAAATTGTGAACCACTTTGCTGTACACATGAGGCATATAATATTGTACATCAATTATACCTCAATAAAAAAAATTTAGTACATTCGGAAGTTTCAAAAGCCAGATGAATACTGCAACAGCAAAAAATTTAAAGAAAATACTCAGAGTTGGGCAAGTTACTTAACCACTGAATCTTAGTTCCTTCATTCATAAAATGGGGATAGTAAGAGTACCCCCTCAGAGCAGTGTTGAGGGGATTAGATGTGTATAAAGTGTGCAGCATAGGAACTAGCACATTTTAAGCATTCACTATTTATTAATTATTAATATCATCATTGCTGACAGCAGAACTCGTTCAACTTTTCTAGAAAGCAAATTTGGCAATAGGTATTAAGAAGCCTGAGAGGGACTTCCCTGGTGGCAAAGGGGTTAAGAATCCGCCTGCCAATGCAGGGCACACGGGTTCGAGCCCTGGGCCAGGAAGATCCCACATGCCACAGAGCAACTAAGCTCGTGCACCACAACTATCAAGCCTGTGCTCTAGAGCCCGTGAGCCACAAGTACTGAGCCCATGTTCCACAACACTGAAGCCCGCGTGCCTAGAGACCGTGCTCCACAAAAGAACAAAAGAAGCCACCGCAGTGAGAAGCCCGCGCACCGCAACTAGAGAAAGCCTGCACGCAGCAAGGAAGACCCAATGCAGCCAAAAATTAAAAAAAAAAAAAAGCCTGAGAAGTGGTGTATACCCTTTAACCCAGTAATTCCCCTTCTAGATATTTATCCTAAGGAAATAATCAGAAACAGTCAAAAGATTTACATTCAAGAGTTTTCATATAAAAGAATCAGATCAAAACTTTAAAAATATCTAAGAGAGACTTGGTTATCTAAAATTATAGTAAAACCATGACAAGACCATACAGCTAAATTTAAAACCATGTAGACTAAATATTAAGAGAAACTACTCAAAATATGTTGATGAGTGAAGAAAGCTATAAACAACCTATCTTACTTTTTTAAAAAAGTACATAAACAAACAAACATCTGGAAGTTCATAAATCAAATGTTAAGTTTATCTTGGGTGGTGGAATTATTTGGGATGTCTTTTCTCCCCTCTGTTCTATTCTATATTTTGCACATTTTCTCCAATACCATCACCACCCCTTACCAACACTGTGAATTTGTTAGACAATTTTCTAAGAACTTTTCTCCTATCTCATTTAATTGTCACAACAGACTCTGGGTAGAGGCTACTTTAGAGATGAGATTACTGAGGCAAAGAAAGGCTTAGGATTCAAACCCAGCTTCTCTGATTCCAGAGCCTGAACCTTTAACCTCTCATAGCTATTTGTGTGTCATACACCCACATGTATGTATGCATGTTTCCTCAAAAACAGGACAGCAGGGGCTTCCCTGGTGGCGCAGTGGTTAAGAATCTTGCCTGCCAATGCAGGGGACACCGGTTTGAGCCCTGGTCCGAGCCCTGGTCCAGGAAGATCCCCCATGCCTTGGACCAACTGAGCCCGTGCGCCACAACTACTGAGCCTGTGCTCTAGAACACGCGAGTCACAACTACTGAAGCCTGCGCGCCTAGACCCTGTGCTCTGCAACAAGAGAAGCCGCCTCAATGAGAAGCCCTCGCATGGCAACAAAGAGTAGCCCCCGCTGGCAGCAACTAGAGAAAGCCTGCGCACAGCAAAGGAAGACCCAACGCAGCCAATAAATACATTAATTAATTAATTAAACCTATATAGATATTTAAAAAAACAAAAACAAAAAAACTGGACAGCAAAGGATGATCCTGACTTCAGAAGAAAGCTACTCAAGAGAGCATCAACCCCTGAGATCCACCCAAATCGCTGCGAAACAGTCTCATTTGAGGATGGGTTCTGCAGTTCCCCATCTGATGACCCAAAGCACCCACTGAGCTGCCCTGTCCATGACCTTTAGATCCCAAGAGTCACACAGGGCAGCAGTTACCACTTATGCAGTGCAGAAATGCCAAAGGTTGGGGGAGGGAGGTAAGGGGAAGCTCCATAAGCAACATATTCGATTATGTTCAATGAAAATTTCAGAACATCTAAGGAACCAAAAAGCTAATGATTAAGCCAGAAACAAGGCAACTTAACCAGTCAGCAATTTTCCACATTGGGCTTAATCTTATCCAATGTTTCCAAGCATGTTACTGTCCAGTTGTTTAAAAATGAATTCAGGAGAAAAAAAAAAAGAATTCAGGGGCTTCCCTGGTGGCACAGTGGTTGAGAGTCCGCCTGCCGATGCAGGGGACACGGGTTCGTGCCCCGGTCCGGGAAGATCCCACATGCTGCGGAGCGGCTAGGCCCGTAAGCCGTAGCCGCTGAGTCTGCTGCGTCCAGAGCCTGTGCTCTGCAACGGGAGAGGCCACAAGTGAGAGGCCCGCATACCACACACACACACACACAAAAAATGAACTCAGCCTTTTATCTAAGGAAAGTACATTGGGACTCCTGCTAATTCAGATAAATCAATCAGTAGAACACTAAAGTGTTCTCCCCCTCCCCTCTCCCAATATAGCCTCAGGTCCTGATGTGCTGCACTAGGCAGAGGGTCCACAAAGAAAAACAAGTCTTTGTATTTTTTCATAAAGCATAGGAAAAGGACTTAATAGTCACAGTTCTCTAAGGGGAACCAAAATAACCTCTAAATGAAAATCATTCTTGTCCCCTAGCTATAGTGCCACTTGCAAAGTCTGGTCCTGTTTTGTTTTATTACAGCCCATGAGTCATAATACTGTGGTTAAAGCTAAAGACAGCAGCTCGGCTAGCCTTTCGACTAAGGTACTGCCTGGTTACAAATGGCATCAGTGTTTGCACTATCATTTGCATCACAACCAATGGTACAATGATCAAGAATCCAGAAGGAAGCGGTCCACTACAGATGAATGCTTTTATCAGCAGGGTCTACAAAGGATAGGGGGAGTTACACTTTGGTAAACAGTTTAAAGAAAGAAAAAAGGGAACAAAAGCATTTAGGAAAAAATGTTCAAAGCAATCTTCACTAATTTAACTGATTCATTAGGTTTGGTGTAAACTTTCCCCTTAATAGAGGAATGACTGTAAGACTGTGGGCACTGCTCTCATATGATCAACAGGGTACCAACGAGAAACACAAAAAACACCTAACAGAACCAGAAGATGCTATGTCTAGGTGGAAGGGGTACTGAAAGGATCAGGTGACCAAGCTATCTCTAAGATGGCCCCAAGGTGCAGGAGCACGGTAGAAGTGGGGGAAGGTGCAAATTTAATTAGCAAAGCAATGAAAACAATTCATTGCAATGCTCTATGCATTCCCGGCCTTCCACTCCATGACCTTTTCTCGATTATCTTAATATTCAGGGATAAAACTGTTTCCTAAATCCCCCGCACAACGTTAGAAGTGGGCGGATAGAAGTTCAGGATAGACTTTGGTACTGAAAAATATGCTTTTGTATTGTCTATACCAGTAGCTACACTTGGGAAGATCAAGGATTCCAGAATTAAGGTTCCCTAAGATTTTCTGGATGGCTCAAACTGAGATGCTGGCAATCAGGATGCAGTTAATGCATCATTTTATCCGAGCGACTAGATTTAACTTAAGTATGGCTCCGAGTCTAAAGATGTGAAAGGCCAACGCTTGCCAACCGAAGGGAAGTCCTCAGTATTAATTTTGGCGCCCTCAGTACATAATGTCAAATTCCCTCAACAGGAAATCCGACCGACACCGTTTCGAATTGAAAAGCTACTTCTTAGACTCTAGGAGAAGCACTGCGAGGGCTCAGTACGCAGTAGGATCTCCCAGGCAAGCTGGTCTAAGAGCTGAAGAGAACCCAATCTGGTCTGGATGGCTCAAAAGCGAAGCGACAAAGCCACGTGTCCCCACTGCCGAGCCTAGGCGTCTTTTCCCTCTAGCCGCTCTAGGCGGCCACCATCCCCGCGTTGGGTCCTCCAGCCCTTGCCTTCAAACCCAGTAGCTTCGCCTCCTGCTCCATCTTGACTCCACCCAACCGCACGGTGAGAATGAACGTGACCCTCCCGCGAGAGGTAAAATAACGGAAACAGCCCGTGGGGCACGCTTGCCACAGAGCTGCCCCGTATCTCCCCCAAAGCCGGCCCTTCGGAACTCACGCGGTGGCCCCATCCCCCTACCCTCTGCTGCCCAAGTGTCGCCTGGCCGCCCCGGCAGGTGAGGCCGGTCGGGGTCCCAACTTCATCCTCACCAGGTCTCCTGGTTGCTGAATTTCTTAGTCACCACCTTGCCCAGCTCCAGGCCCAGGCGGTCGGCAATCTTCTGGGATAGGTCCTGGTGGGAGCTGCCGCTGAAGATTTTGATATTCGGCATCTTGGCCAGCTACCCTAGGCACTCTTTGCTTAGTGAACGCTGCTGCTGCTGCCGAGACCCGAACCGAGTCGGCCCAGAGACTCAGTACTAAGCACTTCGCATTGCTACTCCGCCATCTTACATTCCCGCCGGCGCGCGGCTCTAAATTGCCCAGCGCCAGGTAGGCGGAGTCAGCGGGGAAGTTTACACCCCGCCCTTTCCGATTAGCTGAGCGCCGGCGAGGGGCGGGTCCTTGTTGTAGTTCCGCCTACCCCCGGCTGTCTCAGGGATTGACTGGAGGCCCTGAAGGGGGCGAGGCTAAGGAATCGCCCCGCCCCCTGTAGCGAGGCAGTCCGAGAGGGCTGACTAAAAAACGCTGAGATAACCCGCGCTTGGCTGGGGGGTGGAGGGGTGCTGGTGACGTGTAGGGCCAGATCTTTCCCGCAAGTCACGCTTTTTTTTTTTTCTTCAGCACCTGAAAGCAAGCCTGGTTCTGGTTTACAGTTTCTTTTAAAAATATCTGTTTATCAGGATGGCAGCCACAGTTCGTCTGAATGAAGGGGAGATTTCTCAACGTGATTGAGTTTGCATGTTTCTGAACATGATTTTTGTCTTTTTGTAAGGATGGGGCTGAATTAAAGCACGTTTGCATCACAGACAGACGCCCATAGCACAGGCTCATCCAAAGGGCAAACAAGCAATTTCAGTGTCGCCCTTGCCTGGCAGACAAGTCCCAAGGGGAAAGTGACTGAGGGCAGGCTACCCGAGTCATCCAGGGACAGTGCAAGAGAAGTCTCATTTTGTTTTCAGCGCTGGGACCAAGTATGTTCAAACAAGTGATGAAGTATGGATTTTCCACGATATCTGGGCAATAAAGGTCTGATTTATCTGACCCTTGGAAAGGAGAGAAAATTTAGAATACTTATGGGACTTCAGTTAAAGAACCCCGGAGGAATCAGAAAACCTGGTTTTTGGTCCTGTCTGCCTCATGTTGTCCTCAGCATCATATTCTGCGTGTTACTAATGTGTCCTTTTACACCACTATTTTATTATTTTTATGATGATAACTGCTAATTGGACCAAAGAGGGCCTTTATTCTCACCACATTTTCATTAAGCATATTCCAACCATGGGTTAGAAGTAAGAGAAAAATCATACAATTTTAGAATCATACAATTTTAGTTATGAGTGCCATAATGCTCATAACTACAAGCTGTAAAAATAAAAAGGACTTCAAAAATCATCTAGTCTGGGCTTCCCTGGTGGCGCAGTGGTTGGGGGTCTGCCTGCCGATGCAGGGGACACGCGTTCGTGCCCCGGTCTGGGAAGATCCCACATGCTGGGGAGCTGCTGGGCCCATGAGCCATGGCCGCTGGGCATGTGCGTCCGGAGCCTGTGCTCCGCAACGGGAGGGGCCACAGCAGTGAGAGGCCCGCGTACCAAAAAAAAAAAAAAAAATCATCTAGTCTACTGGCTTCATTTTACATATGGTTGAAACTGAGACCAGAGATGGGAAGGAATTTGTCCAAGTGGCAAAGGCAGAAAGTATTTAAAGCAGCATCCTAGCTTTCCCTTCCTGCCATTTTCAGCAGTGTCCGCAGAGGACCTTTCCTTCTGACCTTTTGTCATAATTTTACGAGTTCAGAAATGTAACATAGGCCTAGGTGTATAGGAATACTTGAAGAAGGAAGTAGACTGCAAGGCAGAATATTAGTAGTCTTCCATCACATTTCATTCATCAAAGATTTACTGAGTGCTTCATTGCATACAAGGCAGTACACTAGGCACTGAGGGGACTATAAAGTATTTGCCTCCAAGGAACTTGTTCTTTCAATATTTATTGAAATATTTATTGAATACTTCTAATGCACCGGGCCATGTTCTGGGCACTGAGAATACAGCAGTAAACAGTGAGAAACCCCTGCTCTCATAGAGTTTATATTCTCAAACAATAAACATGTAAATGAAGAAATTGTATAATATATCAAGTGGTGATAAGCGATGTGGAGAAAAATCAAGCAAGGAAGTAGGAAAATGTGCCATGATGGTGGTGGAGGGGAGGAGTCTAATTTTAAATAGGGTAGTCAGAGAAGGCCTATCCGGGAAGGTGACATTTGAGCAAAGACCTTAAGGAGTTACAGGAATGAGCCATGTTGATATCTGGGACAAGCAGAGGGCACAGCAAAAACCCTAGGACCGGAGTGCATCTAACTTGTTTGAGGAATAGTAAGGCGGTTGATGTGTCTGGTGCAGAGTGAGTGTTGGGGCCGAAGGGGTAGAGCACACCAGTAAGAAAAAATAAGATCAGTGAACTAAGAGCAATTGGTGGGAAGGTGCCAACCATGTAGGACCTTGTAGGTCATTTTAGGGATTTTTGCTATTACTGAGTAAGGGTATTTACCAAAGAATGACATGATCTGACTGCTCTCTTAAAAGGAATAGAGCGTAGGCAGCAAGATAAGAAGCAGAGAGACCAATTAGGAGATGGCTTCCTAGTAGAGATGAGACATTTACACAAATATTTATAAGACATGGCACAATTTAATACACTACCATAGAGAACCCTGTGTTTGGGTAAAGGGTAAGCTGCTGTAACACACACCCTAAAGCACAGTGGCTCAAATAACACAAATTATTTCTCTCTTGCATAACATGCTCCCAGGCCAATGGGACAATTCTGCTCCATGCTAGGACATGAGCACATCCATGTTCCAGCCCATGGGAAGGAGGAAAGAGAAGAGGCAAGGGATTTCTTTTTAAACAAGTCACGTGGAATTTGCTCATTTCATTTTCCATCACATCCCTTTGGAATGAGCTTAGTCACGTGGCAAGAGCTTAGTTGCAAGTCACACCTACCTGCAGGAAAGACTGAGAAATGTCTTGTTAGGTGGTCCTGTACTCAGGATGCAGAGGAAAAGGGGATTTTGGAGGTACAACTAGACATCCGACTTAAACAAAGTCATATGCAGACTCAGCAGTAAAACATATCACCTTTGCCTGGGACATCCTGTCCAGACATCCTGGAGGTATTTCTGGCAGTGGAAGCACATGAGCTAGGCCTTGAAGGATGGGCAGGGTTTTGACAGTGGTGAAATAAAATTCATATATTGTGGCAAGACAAAATGTTTCTCTGCCCGTTCGGGCCTCCTCCCTCCCCTTTAGTGTGTATTTTGTATCTGCACTAACCAGACCTCCCTAGGAAATAACCTTCCTTCTCAGTCTTGTAAGGGGTCACCATGACCCACTACTCGCTTTGTATGCACAGATCAGGATTACGTAAACTGTCAATATATGATCTGATGTATAACCCTATGTCTCAGAAACTTATATATCACGGTGCTTTGACCTTTAATGGGCCGAACAGTCCTCACAGCTTTCTGAAATATTGTCTCCCACATTATAATCCTTGGGTAGGCTTGAATAAAATTTTCCATTTCTTTCTTAGATCGATTAATTTTTTTTCACAATAGGCAATGATTGGCAGGAGGTGGTTCTCCCCTGGCAGGAAGCAAAGGTGAAGAATTAGAGGTTTTGAGGAAAGGGAAGTAGTCTGCTTTGGCTGGAGTGTCAGGTACCATGTTGAGATTTTATTCTGCCCGTGGTGGGAAGCCACTGACTATTCTGAAATAAGGGAATACCATGATCATAATTGTGCTTTTGGTAAATTTAACTGTGTGAATTAATAATAGGGAAGAGATTGGAGGCAGGCAAATCAGGTTGGGAGGGCAAGTTAGTAATGTCCTTAATTGGGCCAGTAGCTGTAGGGTTTAGGAAGAGGGATGAGAGATGTGAATCTCAACCTTTTGGAAACCATGGACCCCTTTGAGAACTTTATGAACACAAGGGACCTTCTCTCCAGATAAATGATCAAAGAGCCCTGCGCTCATTAGATTAAAACTAATAATCCCATTAGGGCAAAAACTAAGTAATCTAATCAGAGAATTCGAGAATATAAATGTATGTGGGAAAAATGCTCTTGTCTTTGTTCCTTTTGTCTCTATCTAGAAAGGTAAACAATGTTAGGGCATGGGAGATGGGTGTCTTAGTCCATATCTAAGGTAAGGTAGTCCCGAGGAGAAAGTTTAAAGGAGACTTGAGTTAAAGTCATCTAGGAAAAAAATGTCCTCAGACCTTTAGGGATGGATGAACATGGACAAATTAGGCCATCAGAATAGGAACAATGTGTGCGAGGCTAGCATAAGGATCCTAAGATGTGAGGTTTTGAAAAGAGTATGCTGAGTTATATGTAAATGGTGATGGGTTCTGTAAGTTTGATATCATTCAAAAGAAATGTGCTGTGGGGCTTCCCTGGTGGCGCAGTGGTTAAGAACCCGCCTGCCAATGCAGGGGATACGGGTTCGAGCCCTGGTCCGGAAGATCCCACATGCCGCGGAGCAACTAAGCCCATGCGCCACAACTACTGAGCCTGAGCTCTAGAGCCCGTGAACCACAACTACTGAAGCCCGCGCGCCTAGAGCCCGTGCTCCACAATGAGAGGCCACCGCAATGAGAAGCCCGCGCACCACAAGGAAAGAGTAGCCCCTGCTCGCCTCAACTAGAGAAACCCTGTGTGCAGCAGCGAAGACCCAACATAGCCAAAAATAAATAAATAAAATAAAATAAATTTATTTAAAAAAAGAAATGTGCTGAGATCCTTCTATATGCCAGGGCCTCTGGAGGGTGGCTATACAGAGAATGAACAGTACACAATCCTTTCCCCCTAGCAGGCAAGACAGATAGTTACAGAAATAAGGTTAAGTATGGGGGTTGGGGCGTGAGAAATGCAATCAAATTGAGAGGATGTGCGAAGGGTCTTGCAGGGAATGGGCCTTCTAAGACCAAGGTTTGCAACCTTGAGAAGAGGGTTGTTGCAGAGAAAGAAGGGGTGCAAAAGGATGGTCATGTCCCAGGTCTCAGGTGAATCCCTGGGACGAGCTGCCAAGTGTGGGTTCTTGGCTTTGCGCAGGAAAGAATTCAAGCCATAGTAAAGTGAAAGCAGGTTTATTTAGAGAGATACACATTGACAGAATGCAGCCCGTCTCAGAAAGTGAGAGCAGGCTTGGAAGAAACATACTTGACAGACAGAGTGTGGCCCCTGAAATATGGGGTGGTTAGTTTTATGGGCTGGGTAACTTCTAGGCTAAT